CCCAGTTATAAAAATTCAAACTCGAATATGCAAGCTTATGTGAGTTCTTTTTTAATTGTTGAATGAAGGAATAAAAATACGTGATTGAATTGTAAAAGAAAATAAATACTTCAATTTACTTTGACTTAGGTTTTTTTTTTCTTTAATTTTTATAGTTATCAAGTTGACTCACCATATTTCTTTCTCAGCAACTTGCCTTTAAGGTGTTGCTTTACGGCAAGTCCCAAAGCAAGCCCCAATTTCCTTAAAATGTGGTGGATTTGAGAAAAAGATCACACTGCAAGACTGGAAGTGAGCTAAAAGAAGTGGCAAACTAACTACTATCATGATGTAGTCAATAAGTTTTACTCCTTGTGTTAGTACTTTTCACATGTTGGCAAAAGAAATGACCAGAAAACTGCTAAAAGTAGCCATTTCTTGTTGGTACAACAACCAATAAACTTCAGTTTTATGGTAGTTTTGGTCAAAACTTGGGGCCTCTGTAGAGGGACCAAAGAGCTGCATGTGGCTCCAGAGCCACAGATTTCAGACCCCTGGGTTAGACACTGCAAAACCTTGACGTGGGTCAAGTGCTTCCGCACACGCCTTTCGCTCTCGGGACCTGGGTTCAAACCCCTCGTCAGGTTGTTGAGTAATTAACCTGCTGCTTCTGTTTGGCAGCACGGTGGCGCAACTGGTAGAGCTGCTGCCTCTCAGCGAGCAGGTCCCTGGTTCAAACCCCGGTCCAGGTGCCTTTCTGGGTGGAGTTTGCATGTTCTCTCCGTGCATGCGTGGGTTTTCTCCGGGTGCTCCGGTTTCCTCCCACAGTCCAAAAACATGCATGTTAGGCTGATTGGTAACTCTAAATTGTCCCTAGGTGTGAGTGAGAAAGTGAATGGTTGTTTGTCTCGTTTGTCTCTATGTGGCCCTGTGATGGACTTGCGACCCGTCCAGGGTGTACCCCGCCCCTCGCACAGTGATTGCTGGACATGGGCACCAGCGACCCCCGTGACCCAAAATGGAATAAGCGGGTAAAGATAATGGATGGATGGATGGATGGATGGTTAGACACTGCCAGCTGAGCACCCTCTGGCATCAATTTAATAAACATGGAGCTAAAATATGACAATGTTATTTTACAAGATTTGATCAAACTGGCTGCAAATCCATTTCTCATCATAAGATGATCCAAGTCTACAGAATATGGGATGAAAAGGCAGCAAGTGATTTGCATTCCTTCAAGGGATGTTACGCCGTTACTTTTAATCTTAAGTGGGTTTTTTTTTTAACTTTATGCACCCAAAAAGAGGTTACATAATCAGTAATCATTGGCTTTTACTTTAATTTTATAATTATTACAACTTTTTCAAGTCTTTTAGTAGACTGTTTGAGGATTCAACTTAAATGAATAAGAATACACTAGTTTGGTCTAAATTTGGCGCAGCCTGCTCACATCATTTTGTTCCATGAAATTAGAATGAGCAAAATGGATGCTGATTATGTTTCCAAGTATTTAGCTCTTGTGAAGTGAAAGCTGAATAAATGTGTTTTTATTCCACAGACACTGAACAGACAGAAGTCTTCACAGAAACAAGCAAAGGGTCTCTAGAAGCCAAAAACCTGTCAACTGAGCCACTTACCTTCTCCTTTGTAATCACCACTGAGGCCAGCAGCAGCAGCAGCAGCAGAGACTGGAAGGACTTCACCAACACAAAGCAGATGCCTGTCGTGGCCCACACGTTGTCCCCAGAGGACAGGTCCTTTCAATCTACAGAGGAGGAAAACCTGCCCCAGGACAGCCCAGATACCACTCTCCGATTGGGGGGCGTCACAGATTTGGCGTCGCAGACTGCCGTCCTCGGTGAACGCACGTATACGACCACCATCAGCCGAGCTGGGGAGAGGACCCTGCTTTCTGTCACCTCCTCCTCTAACAACACCTCCTCTGCCTTTACAGAGGACTCCAGCTCCCGTCAACCTTCCTCTACCTGGGGGAGTCCTCCCACGCCTGCAGAGACAGAGGATTACACTCAAAGCGCTCCGTCAACAAGGACTAACGGGAGGGAGCAGCACACATATGGGGCCTTCTCAGAGACTGGGAGCCCAGTGGGGATCAGAGGAACCCCGACTTTAACTGGACAACCTAATGCCACCACGCATCAGCGTTCTTCAACTGCACAGGAGACCCCTGATTCAACGCCCCCTCTCTGGGTGACGGAGCTCAGCACCAACCAGTCAGAAGTCTCTGTTTCTGCCACTCCTCCTTCTTTCACGCCTGTAAATGTCTCTGGGACAGATGATGGGTCAGGGTCGAGTGTTAGGACGTCCACAGAAGCGACCATTGGAGCCCACAGCTCCAGCACTCAGAACCAGGAGGGCACAGAGGGGCTTTCATCCCGAACCAGTGAGGGCAGCATGAGGCGGGGTCTGACCGCAGCACCCTCCACGGTCAGCAGTAGCACCTCAGAAATGAATGATTCTTCGACAGACGTGCCAGTCGTTGTTACCGAGGTCTTTCTCACCACCGAGCCACAGAATGTCACTGACAGGTAAACATTTTCTGCTTATTCAGCGAATCCTGTCAACATTCACTGTTTAATCATTTCTTCCGTATGTTTTTAACAATAATACAGTATTCTTGCATACTTTGTACCGTTTTATGTGCTTTGGCTATTGTTTTTTGTTCCATTTAAAATATTTCATTTTAATTTCATAATTTTAAACTATTGAATTACATTGAACTCTCTGTAGTTCTTTCAAAAACGTTTTTTTTTTTTAATTGACTTCAGCACACTTGCTCTAACTTTGTCTTCTTATTCTCCTTTCAGCTTTTAGCTGCTGTTTTTCTAAATTTCACTTTTATCTATGGTTATGTTTTTTATTTTATTTAGCTGTTAGCTTAGGTATTGCTAATTTTAGCTACTGTATATTTTGCTCGTTTTAGCTTTTAACTACTGTTATGCTTGATTTTGCTCTTTTTTTGCCACTTTTTTTCTGGGTTTTGACTTTTACTTACTGTTTTGCGTGATTTAGCTTTTAGCTACTGTTGACTTTAGCTTTGAGCTACTGTTCTGCTTGTTTTTAGCGTTTCACTGTTTTGTTCATGCGACACGGCGGCACAGTTGTCAGAGCTCACAGCGAGAAGGTCGCAGATTCACTACCTTGTTATTCTGGGTGGAGTTTGCACGTTCTCTCTCTGTGCATGCGTGGGTTTTCTCCAGGTAGTCTGTCAGCGCATTTTATTTACATTTTATGGAGTTATGGATATATTTTTACTCGTGTTCTTTCCCTTAACCAAGCTGTCTCTCCAAACACTCTCTTATCCTGCCCGAGGGCCATGTGAGACTACAGCTGGCTTCGAGGACACCCACTGAAACCTTGTCAAGCTGATAAGGATATAAAAAGCGAGCGGACAATTCAATATTTGCAGGTCATTGTGACCGGGCTTCAGGTGTATACATTTAATGCATATTGATGTGAACTGTTCAGATATTTGCCCTTGCAAGTAAAATTGTGCCAGAGATAAGTCTTCACCTGCCGTTTGTGAATGTGGTTCATTTGAGTAAACATCATTTAGAGCGTTTTCCTCTAATAACTCCGGTTTCCTCCCACAGACCAAAAACATGCATGTTAGGCTGATTGGTAACTCTAAATTGTCTCTAGGTGTGAGTGAGAGAGTGAATGGTTGTTTGTCTCGTTTGTCTCTATGTGTCCCTGTGATGGACTGGAGACCTGTCCAGGGTGTCCCCCGCCTCTCGCACAGTGACTGCTGGAGGTAGCTGCACCGTGATCTAATAGGGCAAGAGAACAGATGGCTAGGTGGATGATTTAGCTCCATTGTGTTCTGGATGTTTTAGCTTGTGTTCGGCTCATTTTAAGTTCTGTTCGAGTTGATTTAATGTTCACAGTTCAGTTTTAACTTCTTCTACTAGTCTCAGTAAAGTCATTCAGCACGCACACTGCATTTTTAGAAAATATCTTATTTGCTCTAGTTCACATACTAATAATCAGTGTTAATGAAGCAATTGTGCCCCCTGCTGTCAGTTAAGTGTTATTGTTGCCCATTAGGTGTAAAGGTGCACAAACCATAAAAATCCATGATGTTAGGTCTTGATTGATATTTTGTTCTTCTTTAGCAGATCACAGACAACAGAGGGAAACACTTCTGAAGCTACTGCCTTTACGACCACCGTGGCATCCACCCTGCACCCCCTACCTTCAACGTCATCAACATTTTTAAGCAGCGTCTCGAGTGGTTATTCTTCTCAGGCCCCTACAGAGGCCACCATTCCATACACGACCCCCACCTCCACGGTCTCCACCCTGGCGCTGTTGACCTCTGCAGCACATCCCACTGACCTCGCTTCACCCACTCAGAGACCCTTTGCAGGGACGACCGAGCCAACTGAAGCTACCACCACGCACACCGAGACGAGCACAGGAACCCAGGGAGTTACCACAGCTGCGAGTCAGTACATGGAGAGCACCCCCACTCACAGAACTCCAGCAGGGAGCACAGAAGCTCAGCACACCACCAGCAAACAGTCGGAGTGGGTGGAAGCAACCCCACCTATTGTTATCCAAACTGCAAGGGTGCCACAGAGTGAGTAGTCTTCAAATAACACTTGTTGACATGAAGCTGTGGAGAGGAGGAACCAAGTCCATCACCTTTTTTGTTAGTGTGCAGTTTGAAAGCTTGTAATTGGAGCCTATATTATAAATTATTGTCTTGGCCTTTATTATGATCAGTGGAAACATCAATATGTTGTAAATATAGATTTTAGTCAGCTGGACGAATGTGGTCAAAAAGCATCCCAGACATATAAAACAAACAAAACTTGGGTACATTTTTTTAAGATTGTAACATCAGACGTTGTTCAATTAGGTCACCAGAACCATGGTTTTGTGTGATATGTAGACGGCATGCCTTTAAAGAATAATCTGATTATGCTGTATTTTGTACTGCATTGTATTAGTGTTGTCCAGAGTTACATAGATTTCTGAAGTTAAAGGAGAAAGCAAACGGCACACCCCTCTACCTAATTTTCTCGTTTGTTTTAAGGTTGTGACACTGTTCAGCCTTACGCCCAGGTTAGTTGCTGTCTCAGTCAGATGGTGTGCTAAACGATCCAGATCAGCATGGACTTTGGAACCATCGCTGTGCTTAAACAACAACACCTCAGTCTTTTCCTCATTAAAATGTAAACAGTTCTGTGACATCCATGCGGTGACTTCCGCCATACATTCCAGGAGAATTTGGATGTCATCAGCATAAAAGTGAAAAGTAACACCAATGTTTCCAGATAAAATATCCCAGAGGGCGTAAATAAAGGGACATGCAGTGCGATCAAGTAGCTTCTGTTAATTCTTGTGTTGATGTTTTGTCATTTTCTCTGGCTAATGAGACATCCTGTCTTCCATCTGAACACTAGGAAACCCTTGTGTGTCAAACCCTTGCATGAACGGAGGTGTGTGTGTGAGCTACGAAGGGCCAGAGTACGCCTGTCGCTGTAAGCAGGCCTGGACGGGACCAAACTGTGACCAGGGTGAGCTTTTTATCAGGGCTTTCCTTTTAAATAGTAAAACAAAAGTTCCTCTTGTGTACTATTGTAGTACTTTCATATCTGTGTCTTCAGATGTGGATGAGTGCGAGAAGGACCCCTGCCCCACTGGCTCCAGATGTGTTAACACCAGAGGCTCCTTCAGCTGCGAGTGTCCGCTTGGATTTGATCTGCATGATGGACGCACATGCACCAGAGGTAATTCTACAGTAACCACAAGCACATGTTTATGGGGTGCCATTTGTAAAGTTACACAGTCAAAAGTTAACAGCAATATTTTAGTTTATTTAGCCTTTCATCAGGAAAAAAAAAAGTTTTTTTTTTTCAAAGTCATATTTTCACCTTTATAAATATCATAGTTCCAAACTAAATATTTAATTTAAAAGCTAAATATTTAGTTTACAAACTAAATACTTAACTTGCAAGTTAAATAGTTAGTTAGCAATATAAATATTTAGCTCCACACTAAATATTTAGTTTACAATGTTTAAATGTTTATGTCCAACCTAAAAGTTTAATTTGCAAGCTAAATATTTAGCTTGCAAGTTAAATATTTAGTTAGTGAACTATATATTTAGTTAGTGAACTAAATATTTAGATGTAAATTAAATATTTAATTGCCAAACTTAATATTTATTGTCCAAGCTAAATATTTAATTTACTAACTAAACATTTAATTTCTAAGCTAAACATTTAATTCTTAAACTAAATATTTAATTTGCTAACTAAATATTTAGCTCGGACCTAAATATTTATTTTCCAAACTAAGCATTTAATTTCCAAAATAAATTTTTTATTTTCTAACCAAGTATTCAGCTTACAAATTAAATATTTAGTTTGTAAATTAAATGTTTAGCTTGGACATAAACAGTTAGTTTGTAAACAAAATATTTAGTGTGGAACTAAATATTTAGCTTGCTAACTAAATATTTAACGTGCAAATTAAGTATTAATTTGTAAACTAAATATTTAGCTTGTAAATTAAACGTTAAGTTTGTAACAATAACATTTATAAATATATAATTGACATGGTGAAAATACGACTTTGGGGGGCAAAAAAAGTTTTTTTTTCTTTATAAAAGGCTAAATAAACCAAAATATTGCTGTTAATTTTTGAATGTGTAACTTTACAAACGGCACCCCATACACGTTTATCATTTGTTTGTTCCAAGTTATTTAATTTGTTTACTGTCAGCTCTTCCATTTTTTTTGTTTTATTTTTTTATGTAGCAAAAACATTTCTGGGAACGTTTAGTTTTGACAAACATGATTCTTCTATAAAAAGCGCCGCCATGCATGAGATCCAGAGAGAAATCATACAGCTGGTGAGCGTTGGTCTACATTTCTAAACTTATACTGCTCAGTTCTTCATTAGTCTTGTAAGTTTCACATGCAGTGTTTTCTTTGCTGCAGCTCAATGTCTCATTGTCAGTCCTTCGAGGGTACAGTCGTTCAACTCTGAGCAAGAAGTAAGTCTGCAACATCACACATCAAAGCTATGCTCACCCTGCCTTTTATAGCCATCGTAACATCCCACTATTTAATTTACAGTGTTAAATAAACCTCCATTGTGTGATGTCATCTCAGAGAGCAGGGTGGGCTTCATATCCTGGCTATCAACATGTTTTCCATCTCCGCTGACGTGACGACAGCTGAAGTCTATGAAAGCGTCACGGTGTTTCTCAGAAAGTGCAACTCCTCGCTGAGCCACTGCCGAATGGTCCTGATGCACCAGCTCTCGTACCACAGTAAGTGTAACAGCCAACACCATCAAGTTCAAGTTTTACTTTTTTCATTGCTTATTGTAAACTTTATTTAGTGATCAAAATCAGCTGTAGTAATATGTACTGCCACTAGGGGCAGAGTGGAGTCAGAATTGAATATTTTGAGTAGAAATTAGTGTGCAATTGATTTCTTAAAATCATTTAAAATATTTTGTTGCTGTAATGTTTTATTGTGTGTGCAGTGAATTGTATAATTATGAACAGTACTGTTTAAGATTAAAATAAAGACTGCAGTATGCAGGAGGAATTTAGGTGTAGTGGTAAATGCCAAACTAATAAGTAACAAAAGGATTTTTGGCCCCAAGCTTGTAATTCAGGTTTCACTCTTGAATATATCTGCTCTGTGTTGCAGTGGAGAGTTTGTGTGAAGCTCAGAGGACTCAGTGTGATCCAGAGCGCTCCTTCTGCACCGACAGCAGTGGCACTTCCTCCTGTCAGTGTCTGCAGGGGTATTACAAACACAGTCCGGATGAGATGTCCTGCTTGGGTGAGCTCTTTTTAAAATGTATTTTACTACTTCATGTCAAATAGGGAAGAAAACTAAGAATTATTAAATAAATACCTTTTTTTTTTTTTTTTTTACAACCAAGTTAAAGTTTTTTTACTCTTGTTTCCATCCTAGAATGTGGGGATGGCTACAAGCTGGAAAATGGCACGTGTGTCCCGTGAGTTTGACTTTTTTATTGTTATTTTCAATCCAGTCAAACTAAAGAGACAAACACAAATTAGCATCGGTGTCTGATTTTCAGGTGCATGTTTGGATTTGGAGGACTCAATTGTGGAAATTGTAAGTTCCTACATCCCAACATATTCAGCTTGAACTGATGTTTAGCTTATGATTTCTTCCCATGTGTATTAAAAATAGATTTTAACACTTTGTTTTGTTACAGTTTACAAGCTAATTGCAGTTGTGGTGTCACCTGCAGGGGGAGCTCTGCTCCTCATCCTGATCATTGTGCTTATAGTCACCTGCTGCAAGTAAGATGATTTTTTTTTTTTTTTTTTTTTTGTATCAAAGCTCTCTTGGTTTACTATTTAAATAAGCTTGTTTAAAAAACACAGTTTTTATACTTATAAAAATATCAGCCTTTATTTGCTTAATTTAAAATGACTAATATTGTAACCCTGTAAAGGAAATATAGCATTTCTGTTTTTAACTTTGAATAGTCTGGAGAAGTACGTTACTTTTATGATTTAAGTTTAACATTTAGTTTTTTTTTTTTTAATCTTTCAGAAAAGACAAAAATGACATTAACAAAATCATCTTCAAGAGCGGAGATATGCAGATGTCCCCATACGCGGACTTTCCTAAAAACAGCCGGATATCCATGGAGTGGGGCAGGGAGACGATCGAGATGCAAGAAAACGGCAGCACAAAAAATCTCCTACAGATGACAGACATTTACTATTCTGTGAGTAGAAGATACAAAAAGAAACTTCGATCTTAAGCTCCTCCGTGCCTCACACGAGCTATGAGGAAGCACCTTGGTTTTGGGCTGCAATGATTTCTCAAAAACTGGACGCCTTCAAGTCGATTAATACAACACACTCAAAGTGTATTTGCAGAATACTATCAGGCTAACATTTTGTGAAGCATAAGAAAGTTTGTTGATACAACACACCACTTTCCTAAACTCAATTGTGGCAAAAGTTCAGTTCAGACTTTTAAACAATGTTATTTTGGAAATGTTGAAGAACTGAAACAATCCTCGTAATTACAGTGCAAATCAGTTTCATCCACCATCTAAAGGGAGTAGCTGCTGCTAAAATTACATCTGCGCTGTGAATGACTGCCTAATTCGTTTAAGTGGTATTAAAATGATCCAACTGTATTTGGCTGTAATTATGATAGATTACGACTAGAGAAATAGCATTTCCTGCACAAATGTGGTGTGGATGCTTATTGCTGATGTAGATGAACAGATGCTGTAATATATTCATCATTTAACGCGAGTTCCTCATTTTTCTGGAGCTTCGTTGTCATGTCAGGAACTCCAACAGCACTCCATCAGAACTCCAGAACTCTGTAACTCCGTGAGTCGTAAGTCACTCTGGGTACCTGTGAGTCTCTCCGTGTCCCCGTGAGTCCCTGTAGAGTCTCTGTAGAGTCTGTGTAGACCAGGAAGTACTGACATTTTAAAGACTCTTTCCCGGTTCACTTTTTGGGATTTTTCATTGGTCAGAAACGACCAGAAGGGGTGTGTTTTTGTGACGTAAGAGGTTAGAGACAGCGAGAATTGTTATGAGACAGCTCAGAAATGTTCTCACAGACCGAGAGGGTTCTGTTTTGGCGTGCCTTAAGAAACAGGTGCAAAACATCTCTATTTACGTCTGAGAGGATTCTAAAACATGACAGTTTTAACATAACAACTTGTTTTTCGTTTGAGTCCAACCTTGGAACGCACACACTTGCTCATTCAAAAGCAGAAATCAGAAAAATGCATAAACTCTGCACAGCTTTTAACATGAGAATAAAATCATTACTCAGTTAATAAAATTGATTAGTTCACTGCAACATCTAAAATGGTTTGAACTAAGACACTTTGATTATCAACATTTGTAAGATAGTAATGATAATAAAAAGAGAGTGTTCTTTTCACTTGAATCTTCAAGAAAGAAAGTCTCAGGATGGGTGAACCTGTATTTATGGAGTCAAATACATGAAATGACAGCTTCTGTCCCACAAGGTTCTAAAGGTCAAGAGTTTTGACCTTAGACTGGGTTTCGACGTAGGCTTAGTCCACTACACTGAAGAACTTGTTAAAAAACTGCTGAAATTAGCTAGAACGTGCTGAAATGTAGCTGAAATGAAAGAGCAAGCCTAAGCTAGCAGAGGAAAGCAGAAAGAACACATATTTGATGAATTACATTTAAATAAGCAGATATGAGCACAAAAATTAGCATATTTGGAAATCCCAAAATGCTTGAATTAGCAACCAAAAAAAGGCTGAAAAGTGGCTGAAAAAGCAGCTTAAACACCAAAAGGAAGTGGACGGAGCTGATAAGAGCTCCAAAAATGTGGAATTAAATGAAAAAGCGACATTTAGCACAGAAATAGCTAAAATATAGCTGAAATGGCAGAAAAAGCTGAAACTAGCATAAATCAACTAACATGAGCATAGCAAGCTGAAATTAGAAGAACGAATTTAATTAGGCTGAAAGTAGCAGAAATTACCACAAAAATTTGAATTTATCTGAAAGCAGCCGATATTAGCTCAAAATGCAAAGGTAACTGAAAAAGGTAGAACAAGCTGAAATTAGAAAAAGAAAGCAAAAGTAACACGTGTTTGCCCAGTTAGTCTTAAAGAAGCAGAAATTAGCACAAAAAAAAAGAGCAAAAATACGCTGAAAAGTAGATAAAAAGAATAAAGAAGCTTAAATTACCAGAAGGAAGTGAAGACAGCAGATTTTTGCTGAATTAGGCTGAAAAAAGTTGAAATGAGTGCAACAAATGTGGAATTATTCATAAATGCTTAAATTAGCATAAAACAGCTAAATGCTAGCTGAAATAGCAAAAAAAGCTGCGGCTTGCGTAAATAAGCTGAAAGGAGCCGAAAGAAATTAGAAGAAGCACAAAAATGTTGTAGTTGTAGTAAAGCACTTTGATAACAGTCTATCTGTTTTAAATTGTGCTCTATAAATAAATATGACTTGACTTGACTTGACTAGTTAGCAGAAAGACTCTAAAAGGATCACAAAACAGCTGAAATTAGCTGAAACAAAGTTTAGATTTGCACAAGGAAGCTAAAAGAAGCTGAACCAGAACAAAATGTGAAAGGAGCAGTAAAAGGTTGTAAACGGATCTAAAGATTTGAAGAATGTAAAATGAGCTAAATTTATTTTCTATGAGAAAAAAGTGTCAAAAAAAGATAAATATTTCAAAAAGCTAAAGTTGCACCAATACCAAAAGTCATATCACCCCTCTCCTGAATGAGCTGAACTTTTTGATATATGACTTATTGAAATAGCACAAAAATTGTGGAACGAGGACTATGCCGAAAAACGTACGAAAGAAAAATGGATCACAATAGTGTGAATGCGTCATAAACAGTCACACTATTGTGGGTGGAATTAGAAGTTGTATTTAAGCATGGAGTTTTTCTAGTGTTGTCTTGTCTTGGGAAAGGGTTTTATTTTTTCAAGTTTATCAAATGATGCAACGGCCTCTGCTTGATTAGTTACCCAGGGGATCTGATGTCATGATCCACTAAAGGATTAGCAAGTGGAAAGTAAAAGTATTTTTCATTCCACTGGATTAAAAAATGTTCTCTCCCTCTCCTAAACTAATTTTCCATATCTACCCAAATTAAAAATATCATTGTGTTTGATGAAACTGATAATTAACTTTAACAGACAAGCCAAATAGTTGGTGTTACAGATAATTTACGTTTTTCTGTTTTTGTGTCTTTTCGCTCAGCCTGCTTTGCGTAACTCGGACCTGGAGAGAAACGGCCTTTATCCATTCACGGGTCTGCCAGGATCTCGACACTCGTGTATTTACCCGGCCCAGTGGAACCCCTCTTTTACAAGTGACGATTCACGAAGAAGAGACTACTTCTAAGTGTCCCCCTCCCCACCCAAGCAACAAAAAGAAAAATCTCAGTGTTACAATTCTGATGGTTTCGATGAGAATTAAATGTGAGCTGTGCTCTTTTAATGACTCGTCCATCTGAAATCAGGGCTGCGCACTGAATATGTAAATGTTTGTCTGCGTGTCTGCATTTCCACAAAAATGTTTTTGCAAGTGAAATGTATTCCCCTGTGACCATATCAGTGTTTTTGCATGTTTTGATTCATTTACCATGTATATCTCAGACTGCTGCTGTAGTGTTATTTTATTTATTTATTTATTACTGTTTTTAATGCAGCAATTGATTCTCAGCGCCAGTGCAAAGATAAATGGTCCATTACAGCTTAGGTCGTGCCTTCCTCTCTCATTGCCAGTTATTGCTGTCGAATAATACATCACTGCACTGATGATGAATGAAAACTCACCAGGAATGTGGATAAAAGACAATAGCAACAGCCTGTGATGTGCTTTGAATAGATCAGAACATGCAAAACACAGACACTGCAGCGCCTGAAGTACTAAAATATGAATATGTGTGCAACACTGCTGTAATCCCTTTTGATAATAATCTGGGAATAAGTTATTCATGGAACATGACATTAACAAACCACTGAAAAATGCACAAGGTCTGGGTTTATGCTGACAGTAACTACAGAAGAACTTTATAACCTGAGCTGTTATTTATTACATGTTATGTCCATGTCTACATGAAGGATCTCTCATTTATACACACTGACTGACTTTAAAGGGATAAAACTGTGGCTTTAAACATATGAGGTAGTTTGTGTGTGTATGTGTGTGTGCACGTGTGTATGTGTGTGTGTGTGCATAAGCAATAAAAGAACTGAATGTGAAGATGTATCATAATAAGCTGTTTTTGTCCTGAGTTATGTTTATGCTTTTTTATGTGTTTTATATGACATGTTGCTTCTGACGTTTTAGTCAGATGTGTTTATTTAAATAAAATATTGAACGGCCTTTAGTTTTTGTGATGTTCTGTTTCTATTTTGTGCTTTTTTTTTTATTAGATTTTTAAACACTAAACTACTTGAAGCACACATTTTATGACCAATGCTATACTGATGAACTGCCAAAATTCCAGTTTGAATGATTACGTCAGAGGCAGCGTCGCATTAGTATTTGTTTTACTTTTTTGGTTTGTTTTTATATATTTTATGTCAAATGTGAAACTTTGTGAAAACTGAATTCTCTTACTGTTATGTCATTATAAACCAGCAGATTTTCACACAAATGCCCCCCCTCCCCCCCACAAAAAAAAGAAAAAAACCCAACCTTTAATTCCAACAAGTGTTTGACCAACAAATCCAACATGACAGTTCACATACAATCCCACATACAAGCTATCAAAGGAATCAGATTCCTCTAAAGCTCTGAAAATTATTAGAACATTGATGCTGGCGAGCAAGAAAAGTCTCACTTTTTTCTAAAATATTGATGCCACTTGTGCAGTAGTTTACTTAATCAGAATCAGCTTTATTGTCATTGTACCAAAGTGCAGCAAAATACATAAATTTTCCGTTCAGCCCGTCCAAAATAAATATAAACAAAGAAACAAACATGAGGGATACAGAGGTGACTGAGGCCGCTGGCCTCAAAAGGAGCAGCTTTTTTCAGATAAGGAAATAGATACACGAGGGAGAGTGTAGGTGTAAAAAATAAATAAATCAAAACTCGCACTGTGTACTAGACAGGACAAAGTGTGAAAGTTGCAAAAAAATGACCTCAGCACATGAAACGGCAACATACTGATGACATCATAATACATTTATGCACGAGGAGGCTGGTGAGGGCAGTGAATTGTCCGTGGAGACTGCTAGAAAGTTCCATAGTCCTGATAAATATGGCACAGTGTCTATCAGCCAGCTCAACTCTCACACAGATCCACAGATGTCCTCGGGAGGGGAGCAATAGGGGAGGAGGGGGTGGGGGGGTCTTCTCGTTCACATAAAAAAACAGGAGAAGTTTGAAATAGCTGGCCAATTCAAGGCTGAGTGAGGAAATCAAATTTACATAATTATTTTGGGTCAGGCAGCCTCTGCTTGAATTCCCATGTCTGTCTTCATTGTTCTGCTGGTATCACTACGATTCCAAACAGCCACATTTTGTGGTCATACTATCGCACCAAACTTATAGCCTTCTCCAAGGTCGATTCCTTCCCTCCAATGAGTCCCAGGAGCTGCAAGTGGCCTGCAATTCTCAGAAATCACGTCCATCTTATGGCTCAGCTCATGCAGCATCTGAGGATGTTCTGTGGACGCATTCTCATCTACCTGCCAGCTGTGCTCGAGTACCTGACCACTGAGATCCTGGAACTAGCAGGAAACACGGCTCATGACAGCGGAAGGACAGGATCGTCCCTCGGCACCTACAGCTAGCTGTCTGCAGAGAGGAGGAGCTCAACAGGCTGCTGGGAGGAGTGGCCATCGTTCTGGGAGGAGTTCTGCCCGGCATTCGGGCGGTCCTACAGCCCGGGGGAACCGAGACGGCAATCGAGTCTGGGTGGACGGATCGGACGGCATCTGCAGCCACTGTGGGATGGACTTTACAAGAGATCCTTCCTGACTACAGCCATCAGCATCTATAACATCTCTTAATGAAATGAGGATAACGAGTTACAACAACAAAATAATTTCCCTTTGGGATTAATAATATTTTTGAAGTGAATTGAATTGAGTCTGAGAACTTACCGCTCGGTACATTCCTTCCTACAAGGCAGGCAGCCTTACAATTGCCAGAACCTCTGCCGCCGCCATCCGAATTTGTTGATATGCCAGATACCCACCAACACCAAAAAGCAGAAATCCGGTTATCATAAATCCAATTATGTACGCGTCTTCTATGTCCTCAACGGACAATACAGACATCTTCCACTGGCCCCAGGAATCCACAGTATATCCAGCTGCGAGTGTCCCTTCAGCGCTTGGGGGCTCTTCTTTGCCTTGTCTTCTCGTCAAGAAAATTTTGTGTATTGCGTTGAGAGACCAGCTGACCAGATCCATAATTTACAATTCGGAGGATATGTAGTGAGAGGCTCTGATAGGATTCACAAGCCAAAAAGCAAAGCAGGAGAGAGAGGCAGGAGCAGGAGGGAAAGCGTCCATCCTCGTCGAGAGCAAGTAGGAAAAAAAAAATCAGTTTATTTATATTACATGAGCACATGCACACTTTAGGTAACTTATTCTAGGTATACAGTAACCAGTTGGATATATTGATTTCTGACCATTGCTTTTTGCATCGTTGGATAACTGCTACATTTAATCTGACAAACTCTTGCAAATCACAACTCCCAGGTACAGTTACCATGTAAATGTGCACTTGAAACAGAACCATTGCCTAATTTAAATAATAGGCTTGTCTTATTCAGTACATTTTTTAAATCTACACTAAAAAGGCTTTGAATTGTTTATTTCACACTTAGAGATACAACAGTTTGTGTTTATAATTCACAAGCGCTCACAGACTGTTGGTAAAAGAAGAGGTGATGCAATACTGTGGTAAATGTGCCCTTCTTGTTATTAAATGTGTTAGTGGCACAGCACCAGCTTTGATAATACAACAATATTTTTGTGCTTTGTTAAGTCAGAGATTTTTTTTACTGGGTTCTAAATACACATTTAGCTTAGCTGCATAAATTATGTTTGGTTTAACTTTACCCAACTCATAGTCTAAAGAGCTTTTATCCTCTGTGCTGAAAGGAAACCAAACCTGTGTGGTTTTAGCAATGGCAATACAACAAGGACCATCATGTAAATCATAATGTTTTTCAAAGATAATTTCAAACTCCTGTGAATTATTTTCATAATTATTTTACATATGATGCAAATACTCCAGAATTGTTACACTAAACAAAGCTGGATTGCCTCACCGCCTTCCTTCTACTTAGTCTCCATCCCAAAGGTGAGCAAGTGCACAAAGTGAAGTGTGACTACCTGGAACAACACCACAAAGATGGACTTTCTAACATGGGTTTTAGTTAATGGGCCTGTTGGCGCTGTTAACTTCATGATGAATGCGTTTTTCATCTTCTGCATGGTGAATCCTCTACATGGAGAAAAGATCAAGCAACCTCTGAAGTTTCTTCTGGCCCTTTTGGTCGGTAGCACAACCGTTTACCTAATGTCGACTTTTGGTGTTTTCTTCTCTGAAGGGAAAAATGATAACAAGATATCTGTGGCCTCGTTTTTGATCTCAGTGTGCTGTTTGTCCGTCAGCATATCGTCCTCTGTTTGGCTGAACTTCTTTTACTACACCCAGATTGTTCCTGCACAGAGAGCCCTTTTCGTCTGGATTAAGAAGAACATCAAACCCGTCATATTCGGTGTTATAATTTTTGAAAACGTTTTTGGTTTGCTTGACTTCACTGTGGAACTTTTAAACGTAAGGCTTGATCAGCTTGAATTCAATGAAACCTCCACAAACTACCAAAATATAATTGAAAGAAATCTTATACAACATCAAGAAGACGTCTATATTATTTTGATTTCTATACAGAGGTTTCATTTCTATTCATCTTTTTTTGTTATGATGATGTCCAGTGGTGCCACTGTAGTCTACCTGTGCAGGCACATGCAGCATATGGCTGCACATGGACAATCCTTATCCTGTCCACGGTTAAGCAGTCAGGTGAGGGTCACCATCACTGGCATCATCCAGGGGTTTCACTTTCTGTCTTTAACTGTTTGGCGAGATTACAATTTTGTTTCTCAACACTTTAGTGATAAAACCATAGAGCAATATATTTTCACCACAGTAATAAACTTTTACTTGTCTGCCACCGCATTTTGGCTGGGGGCTGGTCAAGTTGTTTTCAGGCAGAGAGCTGCAGACGTGTGGACCAGAGCGGCTCAGTGGTGCAATGATCTCACAATGCAACTACCACAAGGAGCATGAGGACCAGAGGACACACTGAACTTACATTCAAACCTAAAGGGATGCAAGCTTCATGTGAACCTTAAAGTCTGTGGAACACATCAGATGAGATACAGCATGGGTTTGGTCACTAACTGGGTCCCCTAAATGTACTCTGAAACAGACAACAAAAACGGCACAATATATGCCGACCAGTTAATGTTTTAGTGCAATCATAGTTTTAGTGCAAGAAACATCTAGTTGTTTTTAACTATACTCATGGTTTGTTGTTTTTACTTTGACTTAATGATTAACTGGGTATGGAGCGAGAGGGGAAGCAAATAACTGGTTAAAAAGTTATCTTGATAACAGACAGCAATATGTGCAAATTGGTCAGTTTAAATCTGCATGTTTGAATATTACCTGTGGTGTTCCACAAGGCTCAGTACTGGGTGCCAAATAGTTTATTATGTGTAGAGTGACAAGTATGTTTAATTTAGTTGTATTTGCAGATGATACAACTTTTTTTTTTTTGTTGTTCTGGAGAGGATTTAAAGCAGCTAATGGATGTTGTTGGAAAATAAATTGATAAACTTAAATGTTGGTTTGATAGAAGCAAATTATCTTTAAATTGGTCTAAAACCAAATGTATGTTGTTTGAAAATTTTAAAATTGAAACAAATGTTAAACCAGAGATAAATAATGTATTAATTGATAGAGTGTTTAAAAACAAGTTTCTGGGTGTAATTTTGGAGCACAAGTTTTGTTAGAAACCCCATATTAAACACTTGTGTAATAAGATGGCTAAAACCATTGGGATATTGGGAAAAACCATACATATTTTGAACATTAAATCTTTGCACAATCTTTATTACACCCTGTTACTGCCATATTTAGACTATTGTGTTGAGTTTGGGGTAATACATACAAAAGTTCTCTACAAAACATATGAACAATGCAAAAAAAATAATCAATAAGGATGGTACACAATGTTTGGTATCGTGAACACCACAGCTTATGACATTTATGGATTTGGTACAATTTAAAACAGCACAGGTGATGTTCAAAGCTAAAAACAATATGCTTCCAAAGAATAGTCAAAACTTATTTAAGAATAGAGAGGGAAGGTACGAACTGAGAGGGAAATGTAATTTAAAGCAACCCTGTGTTCACTGCCTCAGATGAAGACATTAAGCAAAGTAAAACTATTGCACAATTCAAGATAAAATACAAGGATTACAAAATTAATGTGTATGAAAACGAATTAGACAAAATGATGTTATTCCAACTGTTAATTTGTTAGTCCGTATGTTAAGCTTTGATCTGTAAGAAATATAGAGTCAGTTTGTATCTGCAAGTATATTTATGTATGTGTAGGTATACATAGCTATGCATGCATGTCTGTGTGTGTATACAGTATAGGCCTACATGTGTATGGTAATTATGTATTTATGTATATACTGAATTCAGAAATTGCATGTAAACTTGGGGACAGGACTGAATGAGCTTTAGCTTCTTCCTGCTCCCTATTTGAACATGTTTGTTTTATTTACAGAATATTTTGGTGGAAATATTTACCTTTGTATTTATGTTTTTTTTTGTTTGTTTGTTTAGTTGATATTTTAATTGTTCAAAATGAAATAAAGAAAACAAATCTTGAATTATTGTTCTATTGCTGTAATGTGTTATTTACAGTATACTATTTTGTAATTCATTCTAAATTTTCATGTAAACCATCTAGCCATTTATCTCTCAAATCTCTGTCAGCACATATTTTTGACATGCTCTTGGACAAAACATTTCCGATAAATAAAATCAGTTATTTTGACGTGTCTGAGCAGACCGTGAAGGCAGCACGACTCAAGCCCCGCCCCTCGTTTCTCTCATGTTGACTCCCCGCCTCTGCTCTGTCAGCAGCAGCAGCTGGTTCGAGGAGACGGAGGATGCGGCAAAATCTCCTTGAAGGTGAACGGATTTGTTCGTACTCCTTTAATAAATAGGCGTACCAGCTGAAAAACCTTATTCATTTAAAAACATACCTTCAGATACCGTCAACGGTTATGATACGGGCGGGAAACAAAACTCTGAAAGATTCACTCAGCCGTGCATTAATTTGACTGTTTCATGAACGGTTCACCCCCTGCTGGTCAGGTGAGTCACTTCAAATGGACTACGGGATATTTATGATGTTGTTTAGTTAGCTCTTTTTATTTACATCCATTTGTTAAATAGTTGTGTTAAATATACTGTAAAGTTACGTTTGACCTGTGTAGAGAGACAAACTACAAACGTTTTGACAAACGTTGGTTTCCTGCAGTTGAGCTGTCAGTTGGGTCGTTAGAAGTGGAATAAACTATAAAAAACACGAAAAACGAATCAACTATTTATGAAATATTAAAGGTACTCATTGCAAACCATGAAAGCAAACATAAACAATGTTATCCTGAGCTACTATAAATGGTGCAGTTTGAAAAAAAAGTTTACTTTGGTAGTTTTCCAGATGCATTTCTAAAACGCAGACACGCACTCAGTGTAAACATGCACTTTTATCAGCACACTTCACCTAACAAATCTGAACGCAAACACATAATCATACTTCTGAATCCCCAAATTTCCTTTGAAGCCACTGAGACATTATGCAAAAATAAATAAAATGTATTTTTCAATTTATTATTAGTTTTTGACTGGTCTTCACGATGTTGCAATGACTACTGTTAATGAAGCCGTAAAGACTGTTTACTTGTTTCTGTTTCTAGAGCAGCGCCATTTTTTTTGGTCTCATTTTCAAATGCATATTGTTTCAGAAAGTTTAGATTATTAATGTGACTTCCCGACCCAACAAGTGTGTTTTTCTCATACACTTTAGTGTTCAACCTATGAAGTCTGCAGCCCTGTTGATGGTTCAGAGAGAGGAATGGTCCCAGCCTTGACCAATATCCTGAAAAAATGGCCATGATCAACTTGACGCCCCCTCCTGCCTCCGTCAGGGTGAACTCAGATGCCAGAGCCATGTGCACGGTTGAGCTGGAACCTCACATGAGAGCTGCAGACGACTGTGAACTCCAGAAAATGTTGAACCTTTGCTTGTTTCACTCGCTGGACTCCTGCCTTCCCTTGAGGCCACTGGATCCTCCTGTAAACCCTGAACTTTTAGCATGTGTGCAGACATCTGCCAGCCCCCATGCGATGCTGCCCCTCACCAGTCCAGACTCCCCCATCAACTTTCTCTCTTTCAATAAATGCCAGAGAGAGTCTCATCAAGTGGCCGCTGTTTTCCCAGGTGTGCCAGACATGTTTTTAATCCCTGTTCCTGAGCACAATAGCCAAGAGGCTTGTCTGTTGCATGGACAGAGTACTGCTCCTGAATTTAGACCAGATGGTGGTGATGTGCATCACTCCTCTCTTGCTCGTTGTCCCTCCTATTCTCACGAGGAGCTTACAACTCAGAGTCACACTCAAATAAATGCAACCCAGCCTACAATGGTGTGTGAGGGATTAGCAGGAATGGCCTGTCCTCTTCCAGCTTCTGTACAGCCTGGCACTGACGTGTTAAACCTTGACCAGATGGAATTTAAAGCTGGGCTGGAAGACGTTGTAAAGGAGCAGCTCTCCAAACATGAGGGGCTAAAAGACAAAGCCTGGAGGCTGGAAAAGAGACTGCAAGCCCTGCTGGGAGATCACGTCCTACTCCACTGCAACCAGCAGCTCGAGGGGCTGAAGAAGTGTCAATTTGAAGACATGACCCTTGACAGTTTAGACTCTGTATACCATGAGGCACCTCCCAAATCCTGCACTAATGCTGATCTTTTTGGGCAAGAGTCAGCCACAATTTGGTCTTCCTTCACGGAGGTCTCAGAGTTCTGTGACTCCAGCCAGGTGTTGCTGAGAGACCTGTTGGAGGTCCTGGACTCCGAGGCCACGGGCAGCAGCAGCTCAGATGACGAGCCAGAGGAGGACATGGTTCATGGCAAGATTTCTCTTGTGTGAGTGCCAGCAAGTAGTTATAGTTTCCTTTAATACTGTTATGTTGGATACTAGTTGTCAATGTACTGTATTTTTTGCTGTATAAGTCGCACCTTTTGGAAGAAATCTGCAAGTCCTGCGACTTATACACCAAAGCGACTAATGTACATTCCCCCCCCCCCATATTTATAACCCAAATTTTTGGCTGAGATCTGATAATTTCATTCATTCTGACATTGAAAATATTGAACACTACCATTGTCAGCCACTAGAGGGCCCTCAAGTAATATGGCAAGCCAAGTGTCTCATTAATAGGTACAAGTGGCTATTAATGAGACACTTGGCTTTCCGTACCAAGCCACCTTCGTCTCGCGCCGCAACTCCTGGAGCAAACGTCAAATCAGCTGCATTTCGCTTCGCCACACAGACGAAATGCAGCTGATTTGACCATTAAAGTGCATTTTTTAAGGAAAAGTTCAACTGAGACACACCTTTGCTATAATTTCGAGTAAACAAATAATTATTTTTAAGCTTTCATCTTGTTAAATTCTTGTTAAAGTCCTCCCGTGCACGGTCCCGCGGCTACTATTTGGCAGCCAATCGATTTTTGGCACAACACCGGCCCACGTTTCCGGGTGATCAGCAGTGACGCATAATAGATGCGACTAATACAGCAAAGCGACTTTTTTTTTTTTTTTTCCCACTTTATTAGACATATTTGGACTAATGCGACTTATACAGCAGTGCAACGAGTACGGCAGCAAGTACGGTAATCAACAGAACTCAGATTTTAACATTTATAAGTTCTAGCAATATAAAACTACAGGATGCTATCAACTGATCGAGTGCTGCATGACCCCAAACACAATTTCTACGCCGTACCAAAGAAATTATCATTCTTGCTTACATTTTCGGTTTATTTATTTATCTGTAACAGCACCACTGTGGGTATGTTGCTTGCACAGCTGGTCCTTAAAGTTAAATAAACCAACTAGAGATGAGAAATCCTCTGAACCATAAAATTAGATCAGTTCAGTGTATGATCTGAAGTAAGCTACTGATGCTGAAGAACATCCACGCACAGTGTTAAGAGCATGGCGACCAGCTGCTATTCAGACTGAAAGCATCGGCCTGGTTTAAAGTCAGACCAGTGAGGAGTGTACATGGTTGGATTCTCCCTCTGGATAGGAGGTTGTTTAGATACATGGAAGGTGCTGCAAAAAGAAAAGGGAATAAAAAAAATATATACCAAGCTATTTTAAAATGGGGAATAAATTGTTTGACATGTGGAGAAATCCCGAAGCATGCACAGCTATAAACATCAAAACTGATGTAAATGTAGTGCTTACTGGATGATGTGGGAAGTTTTGCAGAGTCACAGTGTCTGAGACCCACGGTGCTACATACATGTTTTCTTTGGCCCTCAGTGGCATTTACATTGTGGCTGTCATAAATGCAAGTTTTGTGCTTTCAGCTGTAGCGGCTGTTATGACATTTTTTAGCCATGATCTCACACATATTTGTTTCTTTCCGTGCAGCAGTCATAACAGATTCAACTGACGAGCCAGCTCTTTTTACCCACGGGGTAGGAAATAAACACAGGCTTTGCCAGGGAGCCAGCAGTGTTCCACCCAGTCTCTGCTATCATGCCTCAGTGTTTCCTCTTTAGAGTGTGTTTGGTAAAGCCTGAGGTGCTGTTCTTCTTAAAGTTTTCTTTAAAAACCAAACATGTTGGACTGTAACATATGAAGGTAAAAATATGTATTTGTCTTAAGACAGTAGACATCTTGTTTTTTGTGATGCTGTCAGTGGTAGGGAAATCTCAACTTCAAGCAACCTTTATTTTAATCAGAACTACGTATATGTTGCGATTTAAGTAATTTTTGTTTGTGTATTTTAAACTAGTCCAAAAAAAAAAAAAAAATAGAATAGTTGGGTTAGGTTTGTTTGCGTTTTAAAAGTAAAATCAGCCATCTTGTTGTTCTTATTGATAATTTTTTTTTAGACAATTTTTCTGGTTTAAATACCAGTAAATGACCAGAAATAGTTGGGGAAATTGTTTACTGGTCCTTAACCAAAACTGATTTGGGAACAGTTTGCATTTGTCCATTTGCCATCAAGACATCCTGAAAAAAGAAAAAAATCTTTTACCAGAAGATTTGGAAATATACATAAACTGTATTTATATCACAAAATAATAATAGGATATCTTCTATTTTAGATAGTGTTTGGTTTAATTGAGAGTAACGCGGGCTAATAAGGTGAAAACAGTCTTACAGATAATGCATAGTGTACACATTTATTGTCAAATCTGATTCTTTCATTTTAAAATGCATAGATACTGACAAAAAAATTGATATAAACTAGCTTGTGTTAACTGATAAACCCATTATGATAATCAGTATAATGTTACTTATATTTCTGGTACAGTTCAGTTTTTTGTCCTCTTCTGTTTCCTGAGTCTGTGCTGTGCTCAGACGCAAAGTGTTTATTTGTTCTGACTACAGAATTGAGAGATGTTTTGTGTTTGCAAAGGCTTGAGTTTGTGTCCTTTTTATTTCGCCATCTTCTAAGCATTACCCTGCTTCTTTTCCAACTCATTCTCTGGTACAAAGCAATATTTCTGTGAATCAAGGGTAAATTCCCACTGTCCGAGGAGGAAATGGGTCATTGCTGCCCTTTAAAAAAGGAAATACTTGACCTTAACCATTCACAGCAACAACATTTAAGACTGCACTTTTATACTGGACTGGTTGTGTGTTAAAATTAAAATTTAGGACACTTCAACAGCACTATTGTGTCTGCATGCGCCAATAACTCAAAACGAGCCACTCGTATCCACTTTATCCAGCCAAGATGTGGCTGCAAAACCTCAAACATTCTCCCTGAAAGTAACAGCTGTTGAGGTAATGATGTATTTATTAAGCGTCACTAATATGGTTATCAATAATGTGATACATTTGCAGCTTTAAGAAGTACAAAGCAATTCTCTCCTCGTTGTCATCTCCTCCTTTCCTGTTCCAAGCATTGCTTGGTAAAAATTCCTGGAATTTCCTCATTACACAGATGGAAAGAGCTACAGGGCAGCCAAGCCGGACCATCGTCAGTGTAGGGAGGAGGGCACTCACTGCCTAAAAAAACAGAAATTAGCTCCATTGCTCCATACATTGCTTTGTATGGTTGAACTTTTTCATGTTTAACAAAAAGTGTGTTAAGACCGTCAGAGGGAATCTGAGGTATTTGAGTTAATAGGGCAACAGTGAAGTAACCATCTCCTAACATCAATGAGTATTGTGAAATGCAGTGTGCTGGCTGACCGGAGTAACCTTTCAGAGTGTTTGAAGTAGAGGAGTCCCTGCCTGTCCATGCCAAGGTCCAAGAGTACTGCCATAGCAACTGTTGCACAGCTGAAGTCAGCCACACAAATAAATACATACAACCAAGATAAATATTAACTGGAACAAGTGAGTGAAGTTCCATGTCAACAGAGAACTGCTAAGTAACTGTGCACCTTTATGGGCTATATTTCACTCCTCTTACAATTCTATTTTTTTTACACTAAACCAACTGACTCTTTCATTTATTATTACTTTTTCTTTCACAAACCGTTATCTTGCTCTTATTCTGGTTCTTCCCTCACTGCCAGTGGTCAGTTTAAACAACCAGACTTGATTCAGTGTACGCCCTTCAAATATTCTCTCCCTGTGAGGTGAATGAATAAAAGATGAATATGATATATTGTGGCCCTACGTGATTGCAACCGTCCTCCTTTGTCACCCTGTGCAGCAGCAGTTGTGAGAGGCAGTGGCTTGAAGAAAGAGCCGAGCTAAGCAGCAGATGGAGCTGGCTGCAGCTGCGTCTGTCTGAACTAAAAGGGAGAACGGAGCAACTGGTAGAGCTCCACCAAAACATCTGCTCCACCAAGGTATGATTAATGTTTCACCAGCAGGTCTTCACCATCCTAAAAGTAAAAACATATAAAGTGTATAAAGCACTTTCTGGTCAGGGAGGTACAAAGCACACCTTTTAACTGCTATTAATGACTGCCAGTGTTAGGATAAGTGAACTTAAATAAAACTGAAACGTGTTAAACGTGAAATACACCCAACTCTGTGTTTGTGTGCATCTAAGGGTAGGGTGGTGCTTGCAGACCCCCACCTACAGACTGGCAGGCAGATTCAGCAGACCCTGATGAGAGGAAAGGCTGGTTTATCATGCACGGCATCTGAGGCTGACACTGAACCCTGCAGCCCCACACGTCTTCTGCACAATATAGAGAGACAGGTATTAGTGAGCAACTTGTACACGAACCTTAACACCAGGATTACCGTATTTTCCGGCGTAAAAGTCACAGTTTTTTTGCATCGATTTGTCAGTCCTGCAACTTATACGCCGAAGCGACTTTTATGTACGTTTTTTTTTCAATATTCGTTACACAATTTTTGACCGACACTTTAAATTTCGAATAACTGCAACAGTGAGTCCTCCTGTGAGCTCTCGCTTCACTCAGCTGGTGCAGGTGGAGGAATGCTGGTGCGCTAGCGGCTGCAGCCGCGATGGATGGATAATGGATGGATGGATGGCGCCGTGCTGCCCAGGTGAAATGAAGCTGCTTTGACCATTAAATAAATGCATAATAAACACTATGGGTCTGCGGTGACACGTAATAAATGTGACTCATACGTAGAAGCGACTTATATATGTTTGTTTTTTCCTCATCGTGATGCTTTTTTTGACTGATGCGACTTATACTCTGGAGCGACTTATACACCGGAAAATACGGTCATCATTTTAATGGAGATTTTGTTTTTACTGAATTGAAAGTGCAGAAAGGTGCTTCTGTGTAGTGTCATTTCGAAGCGTCAGTTTGAGCGATTTGACGAATGAATTACAGCGTGCTTGCTGTTAGACCTGCGTGCTGTTACGTTCAATTAGAGGCTGCAGGTGGATGAATAATTTGCAGCTGCTTGATGATGTCGGGTGGTTGTAATCATCTCAGAAGGAGTGTAATAATTGTTCCAGCTGTTGAGGCTTAAAGAATCACTGAGAGCTTCTTGTTAAATCTAACATTGTACGTACAGTCTTAATGAAGCTGAACGATGATGCAAATATAATAATTTTTTTTCTCCTTTAGAAAATACATATTCATGCACAAATCACATGAAAGATGTGTTTTTCTGTACTCAAAGCATTTGTGTTGATTTAAAATGAGATGCAGCACCATGCGCATAAAAATAAGGTCGTTTTGTGTTTCACACATCATTTTCACCTTATCAGTGTTTGAAACACTTTGTTCGGGTGCTATCTTTCCTGCAGAGTGCTCAGCTGAGCCAGTTTGTAAACAGTCTCGGCTTTTCACCACTTTCTAAACAAGACCAGACGTGGAGGGGAAGAAAAACCTTCACCAGGTGTGTAACGTTTGGGTTATTTATGTTGTTTGTTAGTTTCTAACCTTTGTTCAATAATCATTAATGCATTGGAAAGTTTAAATTACTCTTAAAATCAACTCCCTAGTACAGGGCTATTCAGCTGGTGGCCCGGGGGCCAAATCAGGCCCAAGGGTGAGCTCAGTTCGGCCCACCATTGGGTTCATTTTTAAATAAAACTAGATTTTAAATCATAAAGAAGTGTACCTAATGACAATAACTACTGGATGTCTGGCCCCTGAGCTCTTGGCTTTCAGTAACTGTGGCCCCCTGAGCAATTTAGTTGAACTGCCCTGCTCTAGTACATGAATACATTTCTGTACGTCTATTTTGACAGCTGTACATCTCATCTACTTTAAACTATCGATGTGATCTATGTCATACCCTGTTTTTACTTGAGCAAAATTCTAAAACACAACTTTTATTTTACTATGATGTTTTCACCTTTTAAAAATGAATTTATGATAAAAAAGCACACTTTTCTCTATTTTAAGGGCTTACTTATCAGAGTATTTTGATGTGGTCTTTGTCAAATTTTTGATGGCATTCCGAGGTTGTCTAACTTTTTTAAAGCTTTTTTTTATGACTGAATATGTGAAAGCTTATAAACTGAACTCACACTGTAACCCAGATGATTACAAACAACAAAAACCACGCTAGACACAGGCAGACGCAGCTGAGACAAGATACACCTTTGCCAGGATTTCATGTCTAGAACTTATTTAATAAAACCAAAGAGTTAAAATTAGTTTTGATGACACTAGCAGTAAATGTACAAGGCACAAGCTTAAGATAGTCAAGCTTTCACGTTCAAGTCAAGTTTATTGTCATTCACATCACATGTGGTACATGAGGTGGAACAAAATTACGTACTCATGGTCCCAGTTACACCCAACAATAGCAAAAATATAAAGTATAAAATAAATAGTAAATAAGGATCTAAGATATACACTAATCACTAATAACGCAAAACAATATGGCATATCAACAGCAACCCGAACATGAGTCTGTGGTGAGCAGATGGGTATGAATGAATACAGCAGCATGAGATAATCAGCAGCATGAGATCAGCAGCATGGATAATCAGCTGCACAGATAAGTCGTATATCCCCAATTAAAGTGGCATTACAGTGATCTATCTTTTTCTTACAGTGATTTTCCTGGTTAGGGATTTATGAGTCTTACAGCTTCAGGGTAGAAGCTGTTCCTCAGTCTAGTGGTTCTACACTTAATGCTCCACAACCTTCTTTCTTTTCCTCTATTGCGAGAACTAGATTCATTGTCAACACTTACCGATTTTTCAAAACGTCTTTAAAACCGGTGCCAAAGACTAACCAAAAATATGCTGAAACTAGGTTCCTTTTTGTAATAAACCCCAGAAAAGCTGCACGGTTCCCTCCATCTGGCTTGATGTGAATTATGCCTTTATGTCTTTCTGTCTTTTCAACTTTCTGCATCTGTGAAGATAAAAGCTGCATAATAAATAAAAGCCATTCCTGTTGTTTATTCATATGCGTGTATCAGTAGATACCATTTGTTTGTTGCCGTTTCTGGTGAGAAAGATGTAAGAGATCAGTATCTTGAAAAAGCAGCTTTTTTTAGTGCATGAATCATAACCCTGACATTTTCATGACCGTGTCTGATCTTGTTCCTGCAGTGGTCAGGGAGGAGGTGATGGTTTTCTGTCTGGGAGCTTTAAGAAGAGGAGGAGGAGAATGGGGTCAAGACAGCTCTTCAAAGCTGATGTATCATGTGTGTGTGCCCGCACCCGACCCCTGGTTACCTACCACAAACACAGACTGTTTACGTTCAAATCCTTCAATACCACAAGGTCATTGGTATGTGTTAAATTAGCTTTTACTCTCTTCATTTTGGCTTTCCTAATATACCAAATCTGTTATGAATCTAAAGGGTATCAGGTTATGATTAAATATGAATAGATTATTACAGAAATGTCAACATACTTCTCACGATTTGTCTTTCTCTTAAAACATGAAGAGAGCATAGCCAGGCTGCACGCTAATCTCATTTAGACTTTTATTAAAAGTTGTTTTATCAAGTCATTTTTTATTAAACTGATATGTTTCACAATTCTGTGCCAAGTTTAGCAGTTTGTCTGATTCAAGCTTCAAAGCTACAATGCCTTTTCATGGAAATGTTTTCCAAGCCAAATGTATTAAAGTTTAAATGTAAACGCTCGTTTAATATACGGAACATATCTTTACCAATTCAGTCATTCAACGTGTTGTGATTTTACATATTTTTTATAGCATTTAACTTTGCTGTGGGCTTAAAAAAAAAAAAAAACTGTGAAGAAACTCTCCTCTACTGAGGATCTAACATCACATCCTTTTGTTTATTCATGCGCTCCAGAAATCAAGAAAGTCCATGTCGACAGTGTCCTCTTCTTTTTCATCTTCCTGTTCATGTGGCTCTTGTGATCCTGAAGTCCTGAGTTCTGACCCTGACTGCAGGTCCAGCTCCAGAACTCCTCTGGTGCCTTTTTCTTCTGCTAGGCTTGAAGGTGAAATGTTTTGAAGGCTTCGAGTACTCTTGCATTAATTTTACTGTTCACTCCTAATATACAGTAAAGTTGTCTTTTTGGTGTAATTTGTGTGATTGATTTTAAACTCAGATGTGCTGCTTTTAGTAAATGCTGACTTCATCTAAAGTTTTCATAGAAAAAAGATGCAAGAAACTTTTTGGAAGCCACTAATCTTCATGTGCACGTTTCAGTAAAATCAGATTGTCAAACAAACTGTGAGTTTATTGTGGAGATTTGGCTTGGTTCAATTAAAACCATTTGGTTTATGAAACTAATATTTTCAGTTTGTTATCTCCTCCCAGGCTTTTCTATAAACCATCATGTTCAGGGAGCTGTGGCTCGAGAAGAATGGCTTCAGATACCTTTAGTTATCAACTCTCAGCTGGCCAGTCCTGTGAACTACAAGAGAAACAGCTCAACACCACGACACAACAGTAAGATTTATCTAGAACAGGAGTCTGCAACATTTACGAACGAAAGAGCCATTTTTCACCTTCGTTCACTACATTAAACGTGTCCAGAGCTGCAACAACCTGCTACACCTGTGATTATCAACTGGTGGCCCATGGGCCACTTTAGGTTTGCTGGAGGGGGCTTTAGTGGCCAGTAAGGGCAACATTATAAACTAAAGCAAAACATATCTAATGCTTTTTAACATTTACTAAAGAAAAAAAAGACCAGATTCTTGTAAAGGGAGAGATTTTTCAATTTTTACCACCTTTTTTTTTTATTTAAAAAAATCTATAAACTGTGCAGACAGTTCTTCATTTTAAAGAATTAAAGCATAAAGATAAAGTATTACTCCTTGTACTCGGTCCAGTGTTCACAAATTTACAAAAGAAATGACAGGAAAACTGTTTGAACTTATCCTTTTTGTTGTTTGTATAACCAATAAAATTCAGTTTTATGCCAATTTTGGTCAAAGCTTGAAAGAGCTGCTGCAGAGGGACCAAAGGGGCCAATGGGGCTCCAGAGCCGCATGTTGCAGACCCCTGATCTAGAGATACAAGATCTGTTTACAGACCTCACCTTCTTCTCTTGTTCTAAGTTTGCTCTTTTTTTTGTAGTTTTTTCTTCTTCTACTTTTTCATCTTTAAACTGATTGACTTCACAAAACCAAGCATAGTTGAGGATTTTACAGTGTGCTGCATGAAAAAAACAAAACAGTTTACTCAAGATAGTGAATAATTAAAGTCTAAAATTTATAGCCGTGGGTTGTGATCGATGTCATAGCAAAACAAAAAATGTTTGAACTGATAGTATGATTGCTTCCCAGCCTGGATTCACTTTATGTAATTCTGCTAAGGAAAAGGGCCAGCAGCACTGCCAGATAGCCCACTAATCCAGGAAATAGACTGTATGTCCCCCCCCCCCCCCCTTTCCTCAAGGAAGAGAAAATTACAAACCAGTAGGATGGAAGCCACTTCTTCCCCAAAGCTGCTGCCCCCATCAACCCCCCGCCACCACCTGCCCCAATAGGACAGTCAACAATTTAGTAAACTTCCTGGAATTCTTGATGTCATAATTCATCTAACAGATGAGCCTTTTTCTCCTCTGCTGATGGAGCTGAAGTTAAGTCTCTTTCTGAATCATGGATGAATTCATTTAGAACCTGGTCCAAAGAAGTACTAAACTGATTTGTTTACCAGTAGGCATTTCAGCTGTTCTACGATGTATCTTTGTATATTTGTAGGAGATTTATTAAACAGAGATTTACTCCTGCGGCAGCAGTGGTTTCAGCACTTCCAGTGGTCCTGCTGACATAGATGTTTGCAGTGTGCAGTCATGAAAACAATGAACGAAACAAACACTAGAGAAAACACACAATGGAAGCAGATTGGATATTGATGATAAGTGCACAGGCGCCGCTCTCTGCTGATTTTGAGCCGGTGTTAATGATCTTATTCTTCTTCGTCAATAGCAGAAAACATCCATCAAGTCAAAAGAAATCGCTAAAAAAATGAAATTATGGTACGCAGATGTACACCCCCCTCTCTCAAAGTAGATAAAAGGGACAAATAATCATTTAAAATCAATAAAGGTTTTAATCCTAGAAGATGGAACCAAAAACAAAAGAGTAAAAAACGTTTAATATTCTGGTAAACTAAAACAAATCTATTTCTTTGTGTCTTTGTGTGTCATTATAGGTTACAAATACAAGCAACGTGCACCGCATCATAAAAGAAGGGTTATGGGTCTGTCACCAATCAGGTCATCAGGATCTGCTTGGAATCATCGCAGCAGATCCAAACCGAGGAGAAGGACGAGAGGACGGAGCCACAGGCTCATTGATGGTGTGTGTGCTGTAAATAGAAAATATTAAATAGTTAAGCACAGGAATTGTTTTTGACACGTTCAGTCGTAAAGATGTTATTACCAGTTCGTTTAAGGATAGGGCCTCTTCCAAAGACAGTTTGGTGTACATGTTGTATATTTGTGTATGCCTAGATGATCAAGAGGTCCCGTACCAGCTGTGTGATGGAGAAAGTTCAGACGATGCGTTTGAGGAGACTTGCACACGGATCACACACAGCCAGTCCTCTCGGGTAAAAGACAAATCATAAATGACTCTTTGTTGAGCAATCAGTGTTCATCAAAGCTCAAACAGCTAATGATGCATATGGAATCTGTGTGGAATGCAGTTGTTACTGGAAAAGTCCAGATTTTTATTGTGTGCTGTGTTAATGCAACACAGAAACCCAGCCAGTCCTGGATGAGAGCTGCAACTGGCAGTCATGTTCATTTAGGTTTACAAAGACTGAATATTGGGGATCCATCACTAATACGTCAACATGTTTCATGTTTGCTTCTAGGGCTTTGTCCGAAAACGCCAAAGAGGCAGAGCGTACAATATCAACAACATTATCCTCCCTGTGTCACTTTCTAAAGTGGAAAAACTGCAGTACAAAAACATCCTGACGCCCAGGTGTGGAACATTACTTCTACAGAAAGAGATCGGAGCAACTGTTTATTAAAATGAACACTGGGTTCTGTGTTTTATAATATCACATATACAGATGTTACATCACAGAGTTCTGTTAGTGGTACAGTAGTCCCTCGATTATCACAGGGTTACGTTCTAGACACCCCCCCCAATAGGTGAAAAATCACAAAGTAGGAATGCAATATTTATATACGTATATATATTAAGGCTTTAGAAACCCTTCCCACAACATTCTAAACTCTTAAACCTACGTAATTTGAACAACATACATATATGTACTGTACAGTACTGCAAAATTTATAATTCATTTGTTTTTAAAATTTATTTGTACTCACCGGCTTTGCAGACCAGCAGCTCGGTTCTGGTCAGACTCAGTTCCAGTTCTGCATACCTACCCTCAGCATCAAAGCCCACCACCCGTCCAGGTTGATGTGCACGTGGATAATTGAGCTTCAGGATTATTTGCGACTTTCCTGGCAGTTCTGTGAGCTTCATAGATAAATCGTTACTTCTGACATTGTGTTGCAAAACTTTCCCTCCATTCCAGCAAAAAACAACTGCTGGGAGCACCGTTGGCTTCTGGGTAGTGTAGTTCTTTTGACGTGTGTTACACTGTAGGCTTATTGAAAGAAAACTACAAAATAGCAGTGCCTGTCTGAAGTTTTTTTTTTAAAACTTTTTATCCCGTACCTTCCCAATCACGTGAGTAATATTAAATTTGACAGTTGTGTGTCGTGTACAGTCTTACATTGAAAAACCACGAAAGAGCGAGTCCTCGAAAGTCGAACCTCGAAAGTAGCGAGGGACTACTGTATTTGATTTGGATTTTTTTTTGTACTTGAATGAACACCTTTTTTGGGGTGGGGGTGGGGGGGGGGGCTTAAAGTTATTTTTTTTTTTTATTTTTATGATTTATTTGTTTGATTGGTTATAATTTAAATGATGCAGATTGCTTGTACCCCCCCCCCAAAAAAAAAATATATATATATAAAAAAAAAAAAAATCATTATCCTTACAACATCATTAATGGACAGAATCTGACTGTCTTTCAGTTGGCGGGTAGCTGACACTGAGTGCCTGACAGAGATGGAGGCAGAGAAAGTAGTGAACAATAAGAAGTGGCAGGTAATGTTTTATCTATTTAGTTTGACTTGTGAACGAACCTGAACATTTAATTTGTTTTGTGTGTTCTCTTTGTTGGGAACAGACTGAGGATCTCAGCGATGACGTCTTTGCTCAGAGGCACCTGCCTATGGAGCAGAAAGAGAAATTGCGCTGGTCATCCTGGGGAAAGAGAACATGCTGCAGGCGCCCTTCGAGGTGGACACGCATGCACACAAACTGACTCGCGCACAAATGCATAGTAAAAAAAAAAGTTTGGTATTCCCCTCTGTGATTCTAACCAAATGTGGGGTGATGTTTGCTGTATTTTAAGACTGCTGCAGCTGTTTGAAAGCTTGTTTTATTCATCAGTTTGTCTGACAGCAGAGTACTGAGAAATGTTCTCATTGACTTTCATTGGTATTTTTTTCTAGATCTGTCAGCAGGCTATCAGGCAGCGGGGGCAGGATGTACACATCAGGAGAGGAGAGCTCTGTGGAGTGGAATTGTGCTCATCTGGATTCTGATGAGCAGCCAGGGTCAGAGGAGTGGCTGGTAAGATCAACATTGCTACAAATGAAACATCGACTCTTCAAGACAAACTTGAGAATGTGGCAGTAGTCCTCACGACAGGGGGCAACCTTAACCAAGAAGTTATATTTTGGTTGTGACACATCATTTTAGTCTCTGATGAGTGGTTTACTCTGGATTGATCCTTCTAATTAGTTGTAAGTTTTATCCTTTGATAATCCTCATAATTTGTTCTAAGATTCAACAAACCACAGTATCTTCTGTAGACATTTTAACCGACACGTATACTATTTCTGTTATTCACTGCCAATGTTAAAATTTGGCAATCTTACACTACAAAAATTCATTCAACCTTTATGTATACAGGTTAATCCCATTGAGCCTCTTATAAATAAAGGTTGAATGAATTTTGAAAATAAAATTCAGCACAAAAAAAAGGAACCATCCAGATGACCTGACTGAACATTGTTGGATTTTATACCTGGGTTATTGAGCATGGACTTTGGAATTTTGAAAATACTACAGGGTAGTGTTTATTTTAGAATTAGCGTTATTTTTATGGAATACGTGCACAAAACAAAGCAAACCCGTGGTAACTGCACCAGTATAATGCACAATACTGCAAGGTATAATTGAAATATTTGGAGTTTCGAAGGTTTAAACTGTTTAACACAGGCCATTCAAAATCAATCCTAGAAAATCTACTCTGCTGTAATGACTAATAATTTTTCACTTCAGTACTTAAAACACATTTTCTGTAAAATCTAATTAAAATCTAAAGAAGATTTATTTGTCCTTCAGAAAAAAAACAAATTAAAGCAGAAAGAACCAAGCAACATATTACTGTTCTTAGAAGAGCTTTTGTGAGCTTTAAAGCTTCGATGCATTCTTGAAGGAGACGACACAGATACTTGTCCAGGCTCGTTTTCTCAGCAGCTCTGATTGTAGAGCTCTCTGCTTTGCTTTGATTGGAGAGGGAATGAGTTGCTACTTGACTAGACTTTCCTTATCGACCCACTCATCACCACACATATGCCCTCCTTCACTGCTTTACACTTCTTCTGTACTTCATCATTCGAACACACCGTGAATGAAACACAAGTTTATTAGCTTTGCAGAAGTGATACATGTGATTCACTGATTCAATTCAGTTCAGTTTATTCATATAGCTCCAAGTCATAACAGAAGTCATCTCGGCGCCCTGAACAGAAACATTCATATAGATAAAAAGTAAATTGATAACTATTTATCTCCAAGCTCTGTCCCCTACTCCAAAATAAAGACATACTGCCCCAATTTTGTGTTTTCTTAAATGCTCTGAGCACCATCACATGTTTTTAATTTATTACAGCAACCAGACAGAGCATCATCTACAGAAGTGAAGGAGAAGCCAAGGACTCTACAGAAGATGTGAAAATTAAAATACATTTTCAAATCAAGCGTAAAAAAAAAAAACACACACATGCAAAACTGAAAAAAGTTAGACATTACCAACTATGCTCTAGTTGAAACAATAGTACTATACTACTTCACAACTAATTTAGCTTAAATTAAATATAGCAAACTGCTGAGGACATTTTTAGAAGTGCAAAAGACCCAAAGGGTAAAAGCTGGGATGCCATTTGATAGTGGTTCACTTCATTTTGCATTTTGAATTTTCAATAAGTTTTAAGTCAAAGTTTATTTAGTTATATCTATATATTATAGATATTAACAAAAATGCTTTGTCAGCTTTGTTTGTTTTTTTCCACATTAATAATCAGTGGTGTGAATGTCTAAAATGCAGAAGTATAATTAGGAGGCAGGGAAAATGGACACTTTCATTAATCATTTATAATAATGATGAAATGCCTCCAGTTGCAAGTGACTTACTGATTTACTTTATTGATCAACTAATCATCTAATTCAGTACAAAGCAATTCCTTGATATGTCAAAAACATATTCAGAACCCTGTAGAGCCGCACTACAGTACTGATGAGACTGCTGTGGGGAAAATAAGAGTTTTACAGTCATTTTCTTTTCTTGAAGAAAAGGGTAAAGGAATGCTGAATAAATATTTATTTATGGCTGTCAGATAATGCATGATGAGTTCATAAAGGGAGTGACAAATAAACTGCATTCCTTCCTCTTTGTACCACAGCCTCAAGCACCTTGGGAGCCCCGACTTTTTCCTTTGGATGATGTTGAAGAAGCCTCTTTGCTTTCTGAAGCAGAAGTGCCATCTGGGTGGAGAGAGGCCAGCTCTGTTTCGTACTCATCAAAGCTCTCCAGCACACCTTCTCAGTCAGTTTGTAATACACTGCCCTCTCATGGACAAACAAAGAACTACACGTTCAATAGCAGCTGAGGTAGCAGTAACCCATGCATTCATTCAGTATTAAAAAAACAAAACCAACAGCTGAATGAATGGCAGTATGAGTCATTTATACTATCAGTTTAGTTTTAAATCACTTAAATTGAATAAAAAATGTCATTCATATAAATTTACTGTATTTAATAGTTAAGTCACTTACAAAAAAGTCTTATCAGCTGCTGAGTGTCAACATGTACAGCTGTTTTTCTCATTTAGTGAATATCTTTATTAGGTTCAATTTATCAGCTGAATTGTTAATTGAATTACTTGTTCTTCAGATATCCTCACATCTGGCACCATGAGCCAAGCAAGTCCCCAGAAACACCTGATCTCTATACTGAACACATTCAACGAGATATCCGTGGGATGTAATTAGCTGAGTACTTTGATGCACAAATGATTATTTTGTTTTGATTATTTTTATTGTTTTTGACATGCGTCACATTCGTTTTAACTGGCCTCTGTGGCTCCTGCAACAATTTCAGGTTTTATTGTTAATGAGGTACTGTATGTAAAGTAATACTGAGCAGCAGTGTCAGGTTTGTGCACCGTTTGTAAATCTTTCATGCTATTTATCTCCACAAATGTCTTAAATGTATACAGGAACTTGTAGTAACTGCATATATTTATGTAACTTTTACTGGTTTTTCTTGTGTTGTTGATTTCATACAAATTGTCATTTTGTATTTACTTTTATGAAAAAAATAATAGTGGATTTTATGCTTTACTGTCTAGTAGGTGTGTTTTTTTGCAGATTTCTGCAGGGTGATCCATATGTTTCCCTAACACAAAATATATATTTTATGTGCCAGAACACTGAGCTCAACTTGCATCCATCCTCTTCCAATTAAATTATCTCTTTTTTAATGTCCAAAAGTGAGATCAAAACAGTCTCTGTTAAAAGAAAACATCAACCTTAAGATTTTAGTGCCACTTAATGTAAATGGAAAATGTAGCAGAGTCAGAGAGTCAGAGTTTCTTTATTGTCATTCGCACCTCATGTGGTACGTGTGGTGGAGCGAAATTATGTACACGGGGTCCCAAGCAAGTGTTTAGAAAGAGTTTTGACTCTGGACAAAATCAAAAAGGTAAAAAAAGATTGATAATTGGAATACTTTGATTGAAAAATTGACACATTTTAATGCTGTATTGTGTCTAGAGTTCAGTGGAGAGGAGGAAAGTAAAGGGGTGGGGGTATTTTTTCTCTTATTTAATTGCATTTATAGCTGTTGTTAAAGTTGGACACCAGGTCCATTTACTGACCAATAACAGATTGGTGAAATCATTCAAAAACTAAAGCTGAAATATGTTTAATTACAGGGAATTCATTACCATAATATTTACTACATAAGGAGGAGGCCAACTTTGTCTTGTAAAATGTTATTACAGAAATATTCTAAATCAAAAATTGAGTCAATAGGATATTAAAAATGCACATGATACAAATAAAAACAAGAATATGGAGGATCATATTCTGAGGAATGATGTTATCTGGGATGATGATTTAATAAAGCAGAATGAAGCAATAACTAATCTTTGAATGAGCTAAGGGAAAGCAACAATTCTAGTTTAGGGCGGCTGAGTGGTTAGAGCAGTCATCCTCCAATGCAAGAGTTGGGGGTTCAAATCCACCAGCAGTCACATGTCAAAGTGTCCCTGGGCAAGACACTGAACCCCTCATTGCCTCACATGTGTGTCCCATCAGTGTATGAATGTGATAAAGCACTGATTAATCACTTTATAATGATTTGTTCAATTAGCTTTGTAGAGATCTAGTAGAGTGCTGTATGAGGGTACAGATTGTAGTGTAAAGCACTTTGAGTGTCTTGATAAGATAGACAGGTGCTATATAAGTACAGTCCATTTAGTTTACTTAAAACCGAAAGAATCTTGTTGCACAGATCTTATTTAGCCGCATAGGAATCTAGATCGATTTACTTTTTTCTGATTAATAGTTAACTTTGAAATGTGGCTGAAAAGAGTTAATAATCCTGCCAGATTGTCTGGTCATGTTTGCAACACTGCAAGTGAGGAAATAGTATTTATCTAATATGCATCAGCTGAAATAGTGAGACTGCAGATGATGAAACTTTATGAAATGCCATTTCATGGATGTTTTTTGCTCTAAATCTTGACGTGTAAGCATTTAATCTACACATCTGATTTAAAATCCATCAATGGCACAAAACAATCAGACAATATTCAGGCCCAAATGAACTTTAGAGTGAACAGTCTTGGGCAGTTTTGAAAGATGATTTTAGGTCAGAGGTTTTTCATTTATTCAACCTTTATTTAGACAGGTTAATCCCATTGAGCCTCAAGGACTCATTTACAAGAGACCTGATTTCAACAAAGAATGATGACAACAATGGACAACAACGATAGACAGTTATAAAAAGGCATACAGATTATTATTATCTTTTTTAATACAAATAAGATGGCAAAAAAGTAACAAAAAACAGCTAGATTATAAGGCAAATGTAGAAAATTAAAAACAGGAACATGTCTGCATTGGTCCTTGCCAGGAGTCCAACAGATTCTTAAAGCCACTTAGAGAGGTCAACGTCGAGACCTTCAGATCTTTTTGTAAGATATTCCAGGAAACAGGAGAAGAGTAGGAGAAGGTCCTTTTGTCTAGTTCAGTCTGCACTGAGGGAGCACTGCAGGTAGTAATGTCCTGAGAGTGCACGCTGTAGCTGCACTCACGCAGAGACATGTAGGAGGAGACGTATGAAGCCAACAGACCAAGAAGTGATTTGTACCAGTGGGAGAGTGCGTGAAGTTAATGATGTCCATTTAACCAGTGAATACAGGGTGCAGTGGTGGGTATGACAATCAGCCAGTTAAGAATCTTAGTGCACCATGATAGACATGTACACCACATAGACACTTATGAACTGTTTTAGCTCGACAATAAACAACTTTGTCATCAGCATAGAAATGTAAGGATGAATCAGGGATGCTCTGACTTACATTACCTATGTAGATTGTAAAGAGGGTGGGTCCTAAGACTGAGCCTTGTGGTACACCATTGTTGACTGTTAAATAACTGGAGGAAGTACCATTATGTTGAACACATTGCCTCCGATCTAAGAGATAGTTAGAGAACCAATCAATGGTGTGATCTGAGAAACCAATTTCTGAGAGCTATGACACAAGATGTCATGATCCACAGTGTCAAAGGTTGCTGAAATTCATGTTACATGTGTAATATAATTTTACTATTTGCTAAGTTTGATCTGTTTAGCTGTGATTTATATCAAAAGCTAATATGGATAAATTATTTCGAGTTTTTAAAAGTTATTACATTTCTTTTTTTTTTTTTTTTTTTTTTTTAAAGATGATCAGTAGTGAAAGTGCTCTAATTGAGAATGCGTGACACCCTCTTATAATTTATTTGACAACTGTCAGGAGGTCTGATGTGCAGAGACAGGCCAAGGTCATCCCTCCCATCCATCCATTTATAAACATTATCTGCTTTTTCCTTCCCGGGTCCCAGCGGAGCTGTTGCCTATTTCCAGTGGTCACACTGTGTGAAATATGGGGCTCATTTGCACATATGTATGTTAATTACAGAATTAGGAATTAGCTGATTCCAGGTTTGTAGAGGTGAATCGGATTAACTGACTCTTCCGATGTAATCTGGAGCAAATCCTTTAATTCTCCCCAAGATTCTCTCTGAAGCTCATGCTAGTCTGCATGTCTATTTAAAAATGCATACATGACTTAATACTAACAACACAGGCGGTAAATTCTTTATAAAGTTTTTTCTTGTAATGGATTCTGTGGGGATAAAGCTTCACTCTCACTTGGTTCTGTTTGTCGCGCTCTTCGAGTATTAGGAGATGTTGCATGATGAATAATAAATGGGACACATCAGTTTTATATTCCAACAGAAGATCAGCCTTATTTATCTCATTGTGAGAGCTATAGGAACCCTTGGAGGCCGCATGGGAGCCACATTGCTTCCCTAGATTCTGATTCTGATTCTGGATTAGAGCAGTGATTATGTGATTATGCATACATCTAATTGTATTTGGTTAAGCTAAAATCACAAGAAGAAGAAAAAAAATATATATATTTTTTGTAAATATTTACTGTTTCACGATTATCAGCCTGACTGTAACTACAGCAGACATCCTTTAGGAGGCGACCTAATATAATAATTTGAACAGTTTGAAGCAAGTTACATTTTTAGAAAAAGTAAATGTATTCTCAATTTTTATTCAACCTTAAATGCTTTGTCTATTTAGCAAAAGTAATATACTTTAGAATTCATCTATTTGATAGAAAATAGTTGTAATAACAATTGCAGCTAAGGCCCCCAGCTCTGTGTAAGGTTAGGTTAAGTAAAAGTTTTTAACTGTATTTATCTGTGTTTTTTGTATATATTTACTCTGGGCATCCAATGACTTGTTAATGTAGGTTGACACATCTATTTTTTAAATACATGTTTTCCAATATGCTCGAGATGCAAACTAAACTAAAAACTCGAGTTTTGGTACGTTTTTCAATTTATTTAAGCTTTTAAAGAAAAAAGAAAAAAAATATATACGTTCTGTATATTTAAAATGCTCCAAAACATCCATCTCATAGCTATTAAAATTCACTATTCAGTGTATGTATATATGTTTTTTCAAATATATTTTATTATATTAAAGCTAAATTTGATAAATAATGTCAAACAAAAGCTGTCAAATCGTTGTAGAAAAATAACAATAAAAAATAGCCCAATATGTCATAATTCTAATCCTGAACATAAATTTAAACATGAAACAAAATCTTAAATAAGTTATAAACTGATCATCTTATTATGACTTATTTCAATGATGACCAGCAAGCATGAATTAATAGGATGATTAATTAATGCATTGATTAGTTTATTTAAATGAGTTTATTAAGAGTGTATTTTAAAAGTTTATCGGCTTTTTAATGTAAATGTTGAATGTTCAGTTCATTATTTTAATTGGTTTAATGAGTTTGATGTATTTGATGCCAATAAAACCATCCATCCATATGGAGGAATAATATTAACAATAATAATAATGATTATTAGTAGTAGTATGATTATGATGACTATGTGCAGAGTATTTGCAAACTTAATTTAAAGCAGTACCGTAATGTCTAAAGTTTAAACAGCCATGAAATCCATCTGCGCGTCTAGTCTGTGTATTACGGTAAATGCGGCTGCGGCGCCTGTTTGTCGGACAGACTGGGAGTTGGACTGGAAGACGCTGCGCCGAACAGGTAAGGAAACAGAACACGTCCTTATCTCTGCACCATCATTTTCTACTCACAAAAACTCTCATATACTGACAGTTAGAGGTAACCTAAACATTTGAGAGTGAGGGCACATTTTAATGAGCTAAAGCTGAAATAACGAGGTGCGCGCTTTGAGAAACGGGGCGCATTGTTCCGTGTCCAGCAGAGGAACTGGGTCTTGGTTCTTGAGAGATGTGGTTTAAATGGACTGCTTTGCGGGTTTAGTTTGAGATGACATCACAGCTGAGCAGCAGATCTAGAAACCCAGTTTCTGAGGTGGGGAGAACCTGATTGACCTGGTTGTGTTTAATTATATATTTTTTGGGTCTAATTGCGCACTTGTTTTCTAGAAGCTCTGAAATCATGTCTGCATTGTGCCACTGGAAAGCTTCACCTACTGCGGTGGCTGCAGGGACTTGCTGCTGTACCTGAGTGTGGCCAGCAGCCTTTTATAGAACATGTAAAATCAATTTTTATTATTAGGTAATTGTGAAATAAAATGATAAGACATATGCCATCTCCCTTCCTGATGAAAGAGGAGAGCAAAAACAGGTGCTGAGTCATGTTGGCCCTCACTGATTGAATACGAACCCACTCAAAATTTGCCATTTTATCATCACCTTTTTTTAATTGAACATAGCTGTAGCTGATTATATTGCTCAGCTAATTAATTTATCACATGGAATCTTTCATTGCTCCTTCATACCCCCCAATGCAGCAGATTTATCTATAAGCCGGTGATGTTTCGAGGATTTTTTTTCCCCCTTTCTTTCTTTGAATGAGCTTTGAGCTCATACAGAGAGATTTCTTACATGCAGACTTCATTCACGTCTCATTTACATACAAGGGGGGGTTGGCTATTGATTTCCCTTTGTGGAGGCCCACTTGCTACAGTGTGTGCACGTACATTTAAATGCCTCATGCATTCAAGATGAGGTTAGGATTCATTGAGTCATAAATGAAGTAATGTCTCAGACGAACATGGCTGATTGTTCCACCTCCCTGTGCCTGCTGGGAGCGAGTTCTCCTACATGATCCTTTGGCCACTGGCATGTTCCTTCAAGCTGGACTGATAAAAGAGAAGATCCAAATCAAATTAGGATCTATACTTTGTTAAATCTGCTGAATCATAGGCATATATGTTTTTTTTTCCCTTTTGTTCTCTGCTATATATTTTTTTGCTTTTCAAAGCAGCATGATTGGCGTCATCTAAATCAACTTGTGCACGACATATTAGAAACGGAGAAACGGCTCCTTTCAGCCCAAAATGTAGACTTTGTGAAATTCTGTGTTTGTGAAAAGCATGCCAGGTTGTCTTTACAATTTGTGTTTGGGTAAGATCTTCGAGTGGATGTCTGAGATGTGCATGTTTGTTCAGCATCAGCCATGGAAGTGCAGTTGGCTTCGAGGAACTTTAATTTACAGATGCCTATTGCTTTGAGCATCACTAAATTAAATTATTGTTGGTAATACTGATGAATGATCTATTCATTATAAATCATCAAGGCTAACAAGACCATGCAAATGCATTGCTGAGGCTCAAAAGATCATATTGTAGACACGAAAGAAGAAAACAAAGAGAAAACGCACATCTGTATTTTATGATATCCAGTGCTCTGTCATATGGGGCAGGGGTTGTTGAACAGTTTTTTCAGCTCTACATCAAAGCGTTATGTGAGTTTTCTTCACTCCTGTTCGTCTTTATTGGACAGTGTTGCAGCAACAATGCAAATATGGATTTTTTGTTAATACCTCTAGGCACCACATATTTCAGGATAGCTGTCAAACAAACCACAGCAGAAGCCTCTTAACGTTTAAAAGCCAAATGTTTTCTGTTGTTTATACAAAAGCGTATTTCTTAAAATTGATGATATGCCTTCACACCAGGAAAAGCGTCATCTAATTTCAAAACATCCCCACAATAATGGTAATAAATCAATATGTTGAATATGATATTACCCTGATTGCATCAAGTTAAATGTATATTTATTTTCAAATGGATTTTTAGCATGATTGGACATTATTGACTATCACCCCTTGGTGTTTACTGGTCATATATTTTAGGAATATTTTTACAATGTCCACTGGTTGCATCTTCTATAGTTCTTGTGAGATATTTGGAGGAAGTCCTTGGGTTAAAGCTAACAATACAAAATTAATGACTCTTTATCCTTTTTGGTCACAATTGTCCTACTTCTACAGTTTTATGGAGAACAGAAATAAATAAATAAATAAATAAATAAATAAATGTTTAAGAAAATAAATGTTAAAAGTCATGTGCAAATGTAATTGTTGGACTGATGGTGGCCAATCCAAAAAAGAAAAGAAAAATAAATTTATGCCTAAACCCAACCCTAGATTTTAGCAGCCATTTTAAAGATTTTTCAGAGATCCTACAAAATTTTTCCTTGTACATTTATTATTTTTATAGTTGCTTTTTCACTTACATTAGATACAGTCCAGTTGTCTATTTACAAGGGGCTGCAGTAGCTCAGTGGTCAGTGTTGTGAAGGATAGCCCAATCTTTTTTGCGACTTTGCTTACTGCGGTGACCCATGAGGAAGGAAACAGCCTAAAAACAACAAAACAGCAACAACATTCTGTGAATCATTTAAGCACAAAGAAATGCATAACTCAAGGGATGAAACTGTGTTGTCTAATTACTGCACTTATTATCTGCTTTTAAGGATGTTTGTCAAAAGATGATTCAAACCAGCAGCAGCCAAAGCTGTCATTGTTAAGAGCACAGTTGGCTACAAAGGTGACGTCTAGAAAGTGACACCTGCTTGGTAAGGAACCAGTTCACCAGTTCATCTGTGGTGATGCAAAGTGTAGATCAGCTTTGTCTAAGCCTTGTGTGTGAGTAGGACACTTAATCCTGATTTCCACAAAGATCCACAATCAACTGGACTGGGACACACAAACACAAACAGTTCCATTTGTCACATTTAAATGCTGACATTATGTTGTGTGTGTAAGTATCTGTGTGAAGCAAAGAAGTGGGAGTATCTCTGTATAATAAAAAGGCTTTCAATTTGGCAGCAGCACCAAAGCTACACAAGTAACACGTCATCCACCTGCATCACCTGCCAGCCTTAGAGTTTTCTTTGTGTAATTTGTCACAGTGGCCAAATCATAGTAACCCATTAAAACTTTATTGCTTTATTGCACCGTTTGCTTATTTAGTACTAGAAAATTAAAAATAGAGAAAAGAACATGAGTTTTGTATTCTGGACTTTGATTTTGACTGAAGTGACAAAACTTCAGGTTGTTTTGACCAGTTGAACATGAGGGGTTCAATCCCCAGGCCTTCCATGTTTGGAAGTGTCTTTAACTAAAACACTTAATCCTACCATTTCCAGAAAAAATGCTTACTTCATTGTGAGTAAGTGTAAAGAAGATAGGACTTCATCAGTCCGAGGAGACACAACAAACTCATTCCCACAAGCAGCACACTAACATAGTGGCCCAACCAGTTTGCTGGTGATAAGATGGTTTCTGGGGCCCACCCTCTCCCCCATCAACTCCTCTGAGGCAGCTATAGCCAAAGTGGTTCAAAACATCAAAGTCCATGCTCAATAATCCAGGTAAACAATCCAACAAAATTAAGTCTGGTTATCTGGACGGTTTCTTTCTTTTTTATTTATTTTTTTGTTGAGATGTTTTGTCTTTCATCCAAAGGACTTCATCAGTCTGAGGAGCCACAGTTCAAAATATCAGAGTTCATGCTCATTAAGCCAGATAAAATATCCAACAAAGTTAAGTCAGGTCATCCGGATGTTTTCTTTTTCTTGAGACATTTTGTCCTTCATCCAAAGGACTTCACCAGTTCAAGGAGCCACAGCAAACGTCTCAACAACAAAAACATAAGCATACAGATGACCTGACTTAACTTTGTTTAATTTTTTACCTGTATTATTGAGCATGAACTTTGAGGTTTTGAACCCCTTTGGCTATGGCTGCCTCAAAGGAGTTGTTGGGGGAGAGTGCGGGCCCCAGAAACCATCTTATCACCAGAAAATTGGTTGGCCCACTATGTGGGACTGAGTTTGTTGTGTCTCCTCAAACTGATTAAGTCCTTTGGATGAAGGACGAAACGTCTAAAAACAAAAAAGAAACCGTTCAGATGACCTGACTGAACTTTGTTGGATCTCCATTTAAAGTGTCAAATATCCCAGAAAGTCCTCTAACAGTGTTTGTCTTATTGAGTTGATGAGAAATATAACCTTTGTTGACCATCTACCATTTAATTCATACATTGGAATTTTTTCATCTCTTGAAATTATTATTTTTTTTAATTAGCTTGTATCAGCTAGTTTTTATTTTTCCATCATGCTCCTTCACTTGTGTGAGTGCATTTAGGTCCTGTTCTGAACTCGACCGTCACAAAGTGGTTCTAATCCAGGATTATCTGTCATACACTGCACTTACAGGGGACGTGTCCTATGCTGAAGGACAGGGAGGAAAATAAAAGCATAATACCAAGGGGTGGATAAAAAGAATGAAGGTGGGCACCAGGCCAAGGATACAAACATACGTGCCAGAATTTAATGTGTTTACCAGATATCAGGACAGGCTTTAAGATCAATTTATAACAGGTGTGGTGTTGAGACGGTGTCTAAATGGCATCTGACATGATCAACTGTTATTGTCATGTTTTCAGGTGAGAGGCAGGTGAAGAGTCATCCTCTTGAAGACTATAAGGTGTTGCTTACGAGGACATATGTTTTTTTTAATAGGAATTGACTCTTAACATTGATTATATTTAAGTTAAAAAAAATTAAAGCAGATGATTTCTAACTTGTGAAGTTCACCAATCAGCCATTATTCAATGTTAAACAGAAATTTAAAACAAATGCAGTGCAGTTTGCTAACTTCAGTTTTTGGCACTTCTTTCAGTTGAAGAACCATCAGATAATTCCCATGTGGGCCACACTTCAGGAGTGACACAGTTGACCTTTCATGACCTGCAGCTTACAGACACT